TTTTGGTATATTTTATTTTTTCAATACAACCTGTTTATTGATTAAAATATGAAATACAAAAGGCGGACATTCATTATGGGTCACCCGTTATAAACTAATTCGTATTTAAAAAAATATAAATCAAACTACAAATTTATAAAAAAAAAAGAAGAAATTTAAAAATCAATCATTCTAGATAGTTGTATAACCGCCATCAACCAAAAAGCTAGCACCTGTTGCGAAATGGCATAAATCAGAAGCTAAAAAAACTGTTAAATTTGCTATTTCTTGTGTTGTACCCCATCGGTTTAAACATTGTTTTTTCTCTTGTGTTGCAATAAGTTCATCTAATGATATATTTAAAAAAGCTGCATGTTTAGCTGAAGCTGGTGTAAGTGTAGCACCAGGACAAATAGAATTACATCGAATATTAAATGAACCTAAGTCAAGTGCTAAATTACGTGTCATTTGAAGAATAGCTCCTTTTGTTGTACTATATGGTACAAATTCAGGTTGAGCAACCCAACTACTAATACTAGCTAGTTGTATAATTGAACCTGATCGTTGGTTTTTCATTAGAGGTACAACTGCTTTAGCCATTAAAGCATAACCACGTACATTAACATCTAATACTCTTGACCATGCTTCTGCTGATACATTTTCAACAGCACCGAACGTAAAAATAGCAGCACTATACGATAAAATATAAAATCAATCAGACAATTTTCTTATTTACTTATTGACAAGTATATCAATTGTGTGCCATTTATCTACAACAGATTTGACTGCATTTTGAATGGATTGTTCATTAACTACATCAAGTTCAACAGCCATCATGTAATCTTTCTTGTTTGCATCTTCACTAATCGTTTTCGCTACTGTTTCATCAGCTGCATTTTTGTTCACATCGGCGACGACGACACGTGCACCATGTGATGCACATGTTTGTGCAATTGTTGAACCTATAGCTCCACCAGCACCGGTAACAAATACAACTTTATCTACTAACAATCGAGACCAGTCACCACTCGCTTTCGATGCTTGTTCAGGGATGGTAGACATAATTATTTACGACGAAGTAAGCATAGAAATCTTGTTAAAAGTAAATTATTTGTTCTCTCTTATCTTCAATACTGATATCGTGTCAAAAAATGTATATCTACATTATTATATTGTCAAAGAGTTTAAAAGACCTTTCTTTCTTGCAATTATTATCAGATACACTTGCGATTAATGACATCTATGTGTTATCGTGAAATAACAAATAAATCGAGAATATTTTGAGATGAAATAGTCGACAACTTGAAACGAAACATAATTATCATATTTTCAAGAAGATTATCAATATGTTTTCATTCATTTGCCAAGAATCATTTCCATGAAAATTTTATAGAGCAGCATAAGTAAAACATTCTCAGTGCAATCAATATATTTTATAGAAATTTGCTCCTAACAGGAGGTATCTCTTTCGATTGTAAATAAAATGTAGAATTTTTCGATATTTAAATTGCCACATAACACTCATCGGTTCGAAATCATAAGTCAAATGTATAACTGAAACGGAAGCAGTTGCGAACAAAATCTGAGCCGTCTAAAATCTGATCGGCTTACCAACCATATCTGTGGTACCAAATACATCGGAATACAATATAACGATTAACTCCATCTGTCGTTGTCAATACGAGTTTGACTGACTGTCTGCTTAAGAAATAGAAAGCAAGAAAAACAACAGAAAAGTAATGTATATGACTCATTCTCTGTAAATATAAAGACAGATCTTCTCTGATCTACATAAATTTAAAAATTCCGGTGAAAATAAAAATTGAGTTTGTTTTTTCTTGTAAACAATATAAATCCTTGTTTTAATTATGTCGGCTTCTTCAACAAAGAATGATTTTGATGAAAATATAGCATCAATTGATTTTATTCCATCCGATCCAAATGCAACATTTTATTTTTTACCAAATGGTATTGGTAAAGATCGTCGTACAATATTTACAAATGCTATTCAACAATTTCATCTTCAACTTTTAACATCACCAAAAAATGCTCGCTTTATTATTGTTGATGAACAATTTGATGCACCTAAAGTATATTCAGTATTAAAATTAGATGCGTCCGAAAATGATGAAAAACCAAAACCAATTATCATTCAAACAAAATGGTTAAGTGATTCATTAAAAGAAAAACATTTAGTTCCGTTGACGAAAGATTATATTATTCGAGCACCTCTTATTCGAAAAAAAGCAATGCCATCATTTTCACAAGAACCTGTTATAGAAGAAAAGACACGTTTTCAAAATAAACCTAAACGAAGATTATCTGATGATCAACCTCAAGGTGGATCTGCTACACAAGTTAAACAAAGACGTTACTCATCTGATGATGATGATGATGATTATGATATTATGGAAGTTAGTTCAATAAAAAAATTTATTACATTTCTAATCATTTGCCTTGTTTTTTTCCTCAGGATTATAATGATACGGTTAAAAATCCATATAAACATGGAGAATTACCAGTATGTTACAAACACACTATTTTTTAAAACAATAGTCTTTTTTTTATAATATAGAAAGGTAATTGGATGTGTTCAATGTCTTCGCAAACAGCTAAAAAGAATACTGAAGTCAATAAAGATATTATTGAAAAACTTCAAGCTATGGCTGATCTCTATAGTAAAACAAACGGTATGCAAAAAAAAAATCATGAATTCGAATAATGTCTTTGCAGGAAGAAAGACTACCACTACCTTTCGACTACTTTGCAGTATTAAGTACTGCCTAGTGGCAGATTCATCAGTCTGATATCTTCCTTACAACTAATACCAGCTTTAGTTCTAAACAGAAGGGCCATCTAATGCAGAGTTCTTGCGGTCAATCTTCACTTACATACTGAGTAACCAAATATTAATCAAGGGGTCAGATGTATCTCGCAACTTAGTTAGCATACTGTCAAACAACGTAGCCGTTCAGTCATGACAGCCTCTGCTCTTACAGTAAAACTTCTACATTGTTGACATTGACGAATATCGTTCAGTATAACAGGGTGTTCATAAAGGAGGTAATCAAACAAATATAAATCAAAATAGTAGTTTTATTAATTTCTACCTCCTTATGTATCACATCACAATCCTGTCTAATCAGGTTTAAATATTATTATTCATGGTTTGACTGAAATCATGATTCACTTTTTCAAGATTAGTTTCATAATCAGTAATATGTTCAAATTTCATTTCAAGAATATTTGACAGAGCACCAATGGAAACTTGAAATCAATATTAGAAGATAACAATACATGTTCGTCCATTGTTTTCTGCTTTCATTGAACAAATTCATAGAGCCAGTCGATTTTCTGATAATCACCATTACAATTTCTATCATATGATTTATTCAAGTAGCGCCTTCTATTAATATTCAAATTCAGAATCTAGCGGTGTTCATTGAGAGAGGTTTTACTGTATATTGAAGTGCTTCGCTGCTTCAAAAAATAATCGTGCCCTAGGCAGATTTAAATCGCACGAAATTTTCAATTCTATATCATGATTTTTTCGGAAGATATTCAACCAACTACGGTCAAACATAGCTTATTTAATAAGCACAAACTCTCTGTAGGCCTTCTTTCTATAGGCTAAATTCATACTTTTTAAAGGGAGAACAGGAATCAGAAGTTCAATGTCTCAAAAGCAATGGAGCTCTACTTATTAAAATACTCTTTTATACAGTTTTATTCAAAGATAGGCTCTGTCATACCCGACATCTTGACATGTGCTTTCAGACCAAAAGAAAAAGCTATTGGATACGATTAAGCTTCTTCGAAACTTTGGGATGTACGATCAAAAAACCTCAAAAACAGAGAGAATGGAAAAGATTTTCTGATTTACTTGAAAAGAACGAAATTTCAAATAAAAAATCTTGTCAAACCTCGAGCTATCTTTTCATATATCTATCTTAATTTTTATGTGTTTCTCAAAAGTAACGGTGTGTGAAAGAAGGGAGAGTGCCTTACTAGAGCTGGCCGTGAAGAAATAGTATACTTCTTAAGAAGATTGAAACAATTTCTTGATCTTTTTTCATATTTACGAGTTATTTATTAGATAAATGGCGTGCATATTCATATCAAAAAGCTATCACAACAATTCGTCGATGTACAAAACGAATTGATTCATATGAAGTAAGACAAGATTATTTGAGACTACTTTTAAAAACTTGTTCTTTTTTGCTCATTTTAGGAAATAATAAAATTACCTGGTATTGGTGAAAGTTTAGCTAAAAAAATTTGGGAAATAATTGATACGGGTAGTTTTGAAAAACTAGAAGATTTTCAATCATCTGAATATATGACTGTTATTAATTTATTTGGTAATATATGGGGATGTGGACCAAATATTGCTAAACAATGGTATGACCAGGTATGAATTTTTTTATTGTTGTAGATGTTTAAAGAATTTTTAGTTATTTATAAAATAGGGTTTTCGTACTCTTGATGATCTTCGTACAAAAGCAAAATTGTCTCATAATCAACAAATTGGATTGAAATATTATGATGAATTTCTTGAACGAATGCCACGTGATGAAGTTGCAGAAATTGAAGCTGTCGTATGTTTATTAAATGAAAGATAATTTTCCATTATTAATTTCGTTCTGAAATGATATTTAGGTAAAGGAACATGCACTTGCATTAGTACCTGATCTTACTATTCAAACTTGTGGTTCATATAGACGAGGCAAAGCCACATGTGGTGATGTTGATATTTTAATTACACATTCTGATGGAATATCACATCAAGGTCTACTTATTCCATTGGTTGATTCACTAAGAAAATCTGGTATGCTTTTAAAATTTATTTGAATTTTAAGATGTGCAGGGCAGGATAGATAGAAATCTAAACCGATTTCCTATGGCTGCCGTTACTACACGATAATAAATATTTGATTTTTTTTTAAATTTCCGATGTCCCATATCAGTTTTTCAAGATGTTACTATCGGATTTCTTATCAATAAACCATCTACCATCGTTTTTATTTCGAACCGATCAATCCATTGGCTTATGCCACTAAGGATATAGGGCAGGGATTAGAAAATTTTCTCAATTAATGTACAAAAGATTATAAATGGATGTTTTAGGTTTTCTAACTGACGATCTTGTTCTCTCTGATAAATATGAAGAAGATGGCGGGTAAAAAAATTTAGTTTATACTTTAATCTAAGTATATCATTTGTTTTTGTATTCCAAGTTCTCATGTAAAATATTTTGGTGTTTGTCTCTTACCCGGTGAAAATAGAAAAGTAAGTACTTTTACAAACTGAATACAATACAAAAAGATAACTTTTTATTTTAAAGCATCGCCGTCTGGATATTATTGTTATACCATACAGTGAATATGCTTGTGCTTTACTTTATTTTACTGGTAGTGCACTTTTTAACCGTTCAATGCGAAATTTAGCACATCAATATAATATGTAATTTATCTTGTTTTTCTTTTTTTTTTTTATTATAATAATATTTATTTTTAAAGGTATTTATCTCAACATCGTCTTAATACCGGTGTTATTCGCAAAGTAAAACCATATCTATATATATACGCTTTTTATTCTATTGAAATTCTTTTTATTTTAGAATAATTCAAAAATCAATATGGGTACACCATTGTATACTCCAACAGAAGAATCTATTTTTAAATATCTAAATTTACCTTATCGACCACCAGAAGAACGTGACCATTAACTAGTCAAAAACAAACAGAGACTTTTTTTTTTATCTTTTAACTAATTGTGTTTACATATTTTGGTTTTTGTCTATTTTCAATAATTTTTAACTCGGTGATAATAAATAAATATTTTATATTTTTAGATTGTTTTTTGGTTTTTATTTCTGTAATCATAAAAATGGTGTTAGATGCAAATATTCTACAAGAAAAATTGATTGAAGCTTGGAAATTACGTTCAAATGAGACTAGTTTTTCAGCTTCACTTGCACCATTAATTGCAGAATGTCGATCTGAAGATGAATTTCGTACATTATTTACTAGTAAGAATAAAGAGATTTTTTTTTTGTGTTAGATATTTATTTATTTAATAATTTCTAGGACAAATTCTTACACATATTGATTCAGCAATATCATCGAATCTTCTTCAATCATATTTTAAATTTCATGCAAGATCTAGTTATGTAAATGAATCATTAATTATTGATCATCTTCTGTTATTAACACCATTATCATCATCAACAACAACAGATGATATTCAAATAAAATTTTTACTCGAATTACTATTTGAAATTCTTAAAGCAATGCATGTTAGTGCTGAACAAGCACCTCGTCTTGGTAAACAATTAAATTTACTTGCTAAATGGCTTTGTTCAACATTATGTATGTATTTAAATGAATTAAATATAAATGAACAAATAAATATAAAAGAAAATGAAATAATTATATTAATTTCAAATGTATTTCTTTTATTATTTACAAATACAACATATTATTGTCTTTGGTTAATGATAATTAAAGCACAAAAAGAACAAAAAGAATGGAAACAATTACAAGAACGATTAGAATTAGTTTCAAAAAGAATACCAACTGAAGAAAATTTTAGACCTGATGTTTATGAACAAATTCTTTTTAAGTAAGCTATCTTTCGATATACAAAGTGACTCATAGATAATAAAAGACTACTAAAAACAAATCATTGTAAAAAATGTTTCGTTCACTTTTCAGCTTCTTAAAGAAGCTTGCAGATATTTCAAAACATTCGATTAGAATAAATGTTTTTTAATTTTATCTGAACATGACTGTTGTCTTGAAATCATACAAGTCTTGTGAATTCTTTTAATCATTGCTTTTGTGATATATGATCTACTCAATCGGTTGAGCCGTGCTCGGCACATGAAACAAAGTTGTTTTTGAATCGAATACTATGGTCGGGGACAGTTCAAAAGTCGATAACCTTTAAGTCGGCTTTCTTCAGTCTAGACCATATGATTGATATCTCTTAACGACTCTAAATAACTTACACTAGCATGACAAGTCAAACTATCTATTAGGAAAAGTTGAAACTAGATGAATGGTCGTTGGGTGAGTTATCTTTAAAAAAACTCAAGGACTAAGCGTGACCAAAGGTCAATAGCCCATGGAACGGCTTTCTTCGGTTCAACCCAGTTCACTGAGCCGTCTCTTATGTACTTATGGATACTGAAGAAGTGTCAAAGGATACCTTTCCCTCCTTGACTGATCTACTCAAACAACTTTGGTTTCATTTTTGAGAGAATCGCTTCGGAGCACAAAACGTATTTGTTCTTTACTAAAACGCCGTTACTAACACGGAACACAGTATTTCGAACACCTTCGCTCCAGAAACTGAACTATTAGAATTGAGCAGTACCTATCAGAGAACCTGTTCGAACAGACCTTGTGATTTGGTCTGAATTTGACATAGGAGTAAAACCCTGGACCGCCCAACAGATGTGACAGACATGCTTAGCAATGCACCGGTCCTTCAAATTACAGATCATATATTAATAATGTCTTGTTATAATGCTCCCTTATTGCATTTCTGTAAAATGCAGTAAAACGATACTAAACAAATACATCCTTAAATAGATAGAATAAAGCAGTCTCTCTATTATTAACAACAGCAACCTTGTCGCATTTCACATTTTAATTGCGTATGGATTTTATTAAGAGCGTTTTTTTTATTTAGAATAACTCATCTTCATTTATCCGAAGAATTCCATCAAGAAGATATTGAATTTAATATGTCAATATTCAATCCAATTGTTTCAATGCTTGTTATCAATCAACTTCATAAATCATCATCAATTCTTCTTTTAATTCTTCGTTTCTATGAACATGTTTCTACAACATCAAATCCATCATTAATCTATCTTCGTCTTCTTCAAGCATCATTTGGTGGTTATCTTTCATCAATATCAACAAATAATAGTGAATATCAACAACGTTGGTCAGCATATATAAATTTTCAATTACCACGTATATTAGCATCATGTCTTGAAACACAATTTGATATAATACAACAATCTATTGAAACATTTTTATTACATAATGAATATTTACTTAATCGTATGGATGAATTATGTTTAGAAAATGTATTTGAAAAAATTTTTCAAACAACATTAAATTATATTAAAAATGATATTAAAGAAAAAAATGAAAATAAAATTAATCAATTAATGTTTTATATACAACAAAGTCGTCTACCATATATTCAACAAATTCAACGATATTATCAAAATCATCAAATACGTTCGTTATATTTATTTATTTTTTTTTTTGTTAATCAATTTAAATTGATTCTTTCTTTTTTGATTTTTAAAGAGTCTTATTCATTTCAAGTTCTTCAATTGCAACGTTCATTAGAAAAATCTTTATATAAAATTTTTTCAACACCAAATGATAATGACAATCTACAAAATTTAATTAATAATTTAACTGATTATATTCCATTAATATGTGCACTTGATCAATATTATTCATTTATTCAATTACTTTTAACATATACACAAACACAATATGATCTTGCTTTATATTTACTTTGTTATATAACATCAATAACAGATGATACATCAGAAGATTTTGGTCATATTGATATTAATAATGATAAATCATCATCATCATTTATTATTTATATATGGTTAAAAAAATATTGGTTATCACGTCATTTAGGTCATGCTTTATTTTCTTCATCACTTTATTCAATTGATTTTCTTTCAACAATAAATAATTCATTTGATGATATATCATTATTAGAAAAAGATGAATTTTTATTAGATATTAAAAATTTTAATAATGAAAATATACAAATAAAATATTCGAATATTGAATATTTAATAAAAACAATTTATTTACTTGGAGAACTTCAATCATTATCATTAGATGAAACAAAACAAATTGTTTTACAATTAATTAATTATCTAACTCATGTTTCATATGGATCACTTGTACATGTACTTCTTTGGCTTATAGCAAATTATCAAATAGCAAATGATGATGAAAAACCATGGATTCAAAATGTTATTCATACAATGGGTAAATTAGTTTAATACATAATTAAGTCGTCAGTGCTATTCTTTATCACTTATCTGCAAAGAGGAAACACTAGGTTTTAGTATCGCTTAGATCGGTTGTATTAGACATACATCAGTCCCCGCACGAATGAGACTGATGTCTATTTAGTTGTATTCTCTTTCTAATCTGACTAGGAAAGTGTCCTAATGTGATTAGTCACTATTGAATCGAGATAATATGCATTATGTAAACTCTGATGAGTTGTAAATATCCTAAAAGGACTTCGTAACATGTAGGACGTTCAAAACGTTCTGAGACTGATTTATGAAGAAAAATATAAGTGAGTGGCAATTATAAATGTATGTTTTCCTTTTTCGATGTATCACCCCTCTACCACAATCCAATTTTGCTAACGCTTTGGAAGCATTTGTATAGTTGCTGTGAACTCATCTTTAAATAGACGATTAAGACATTGACTAACAATGAACCCAACTAACTTTGATCATTGTTAGTATCTTCCTCGTAGGTGATCGTTAAACACTGTAAACAGGAAATAATTACTGGAGGTTAAATTCGGAGAATAAAGTAGGTGACAAAGTAATAAAAAAAGAGATGCGATGAAGGACTGTCATTTTGCAAAATATCACCACCCGAAAGTAGACTGTACTGTTTTTTTCTCTAATTTATGGATGATATTCTTTCATCAGAAGGTGTAGGTAATATACTGTAGTGATTGTCATACTCCAGTGGTATGAGTCGTGCGATAATTTCCCATTGATGGCTCTAGAAGAAAATTTCTAACTCTAATCCTACCTTGCACAACCTTTATTCGTAGCGCACTATATAAAATTTATTTCTCGTTCTTCATTAAGTCTTATACTACCTAGTAGGCCCAAAAATTGGTAAATGATATAATAATATCATGTCTTTCTGATTTATTTTATTTTTTTAAAATACAACATTAGAGTACACTTTTTTTTTTTGGAAATTACTAATGAATAATGTCATTACTTAAATTTTACTGTTGCTCTTCGAAAATTCTTTCACTTGTACTGAGTATTTTTCGCTCGTAAATGAGCTAGCTGATTTGTCAAATGATGATCTAGTTAGAATATTAAGCTTTGACCTATTTTTTTCTTCTGTTTCCATATAAATTCACTATTCATGACTAGTTTCACGTTAACATAATGATCAATTTCATCTTCATAGAATTCCAATGGATCCTTTTAAGCAAATTCCTTCATAATAGTATTTAGTTTCTTCTCTCAATGTTTTTTTTTATTCTTTTGATTCCCCGACGCCTACCCTATTCTAGCCTTCAAGATAGAGTAACCTAGTACATCTCTACGAGATCTATATGTGCCTTTTTAAAACAGAATTATTAATAAATATGAATTTTATTGATAATTAAAAGTTAAAAAAAAACTTTTTTATTGATTTATGAAATACTATCAATACTTATATAATAGTAAAAACATTTAACCATGATTTGTCATGTATCATCAATACACAATTCAGCTCATATATCAAAATATTTTACTATAGAAAAATTTTTAGCATGTTTGTCGTGTTTTGCAAAAGCTCTTACATTCATTAACAATCTTGTATTTGACAGGTACAACAGGTGATTCCAACTCAACAATAGTCTCATTACTTGATGCTATAAAACGACAATTATGGTCAGATTATATTGATAATCCATTAGTACCATATTATTCTATTGTTCCAGTTCTATCATCAATAGTTAATAATATATCTTTATCATCATCACAAACATCTACATCAATTATTCAAACATTATTTGATTCATATATAGTAAATGAATTTCTTGATTGTGAACAATCACGTGCATTATACATTTGTTCAAAATATGTTCCCATAGATTTTTTAATTGTACGTTTATTAACAAATATAAATACATCCAATGGAATATATGAAACAGGTCGTGCACTTTATTTTATATTAGGTGTAATTCTTTTTCGAAGACGTTCATCAACACGTTGTTTATTAAAACAAGGTTTACCTTATTTATTTAATATAAAATCTAATGAATTTATGCTTGAACCAAATGTTTATATAATATGTTTCATAATGAATATTCTTCTTGCACTTGAATTTAATCAAAATGATGGTCAATTAGAAGATTTATTTCATGTTAAATCATGGAAAGATATTTATTCAATTGATGATATTATATCAAAGTATGAAGATACAACTGTTGTTGATGCTTATCATTCATTATTAAATTATTCATCCGAAGAATTATTTTCAAGTGAAACACTTCGACCAGTTAATTATTTTCTTGGTTGGTTTCAAACAATTCTTTGGATGTTTAGTCGTACAGCTAAATCATTAAAACCATTTGTGAAACCAAAATTAGTAAGATATTTAAGATTTCTATTTTGTTTTGTGAAACATGATCTAAATGGAATGTTGAAGTATTCGTGTAAAAATCTGAACTTCCTTCTCTTACAGGCTGTCATCACTAGAGTTGTGCGAGATCTCTTCAGACTGAAATTTAGACTGTTTGCCGGTATCGGTACCACGAAAAAGAGAAGCTGTCAACATTGAGATAACTACTGAGAGAAACAAGTTGTCCCAACTGGAAAATATTAGAGTTAAATTGTCTACGATTTTAAGTTAATCATCTTATACCTCAATTCAATCAGAACAGAATTCAAAAAACTGTTAGTTGTGAACTGCATAAATCGAGAAAACAAATATTGAAAAATTTTTTTAGATGTGATTCAAATAAATTCTGGAATAGTTTTCTTTAGATCTGAATCAAGATCGAGATTGATACCGAAAGAATTAAAACCATCAGGACCGAGAGCACTAGGAAAAAGCTAACAGAATCCGGACTAGAAAAAACCTTGACCCTTCAAATCTCTAACAGTGATACATGCCAGTGAGAGACTACCATAGATTGTTACAGACATTATTGATATGCGATCACAAGCTGTATAGTGACAACGTCTTGTTACACTTTTTGTGATTACCAACAGCGTCGTGTTTTACATTTTAACTCTACAAAGATTGCGCTAACATCTTTTTTTTTTTTTTTTATAAAGGTTGCTCAATTATCAGAATATTTACCGTTACAATTTCCAATTGAAAAAGTTCTTAGTATATTAGAATTATCAAATAATACTGAAATTGAATATGCTGCAATGGCTATAACACGTGATTATATTCATTTAAAAACAATTAGTAGTCGAACAAGAAAAACACTCGTACATAATCAACAATTGATAATTAGTGAAAATAGTTTAACAACATCAACAAATCTAACAAAAAATATATTTTCAATACCAACAAATCTTTAAATTGTTGGTCGTGAAATTTTTTTTTTTTGTAAATTTCTTTGTCTGTAAATAATATTTCATCTGGCATGATGAGCTAAACTCTAAGTTTCATTTTTGTTCTATATTTGTTAAATAAATATGTTTACGACTGTATACATTAGATGAAAGAATCAATATCAATCAGCTGATTGTATATAGTTATCAATTAAAATTCATTTTCAAATGTATACTGTACCAATTTGAATGATGAGAGTAGTGATGATGATTGCCGCTTGTCCACTAATAACGCATTCATTCAGATAGATTTCTTTCATTGGAACTATTTAAGAAAAGCTGATATTCCTAAGAATTATCTCGTTTCGAACAAAATATTGTCAACAGACTCATCGTAGTGAAAAATATTTTTTGAAAGTTTTTTTTTCTGTAAAAAATGTTGTCACTAAATAATTACGATAACACACTTAGGAACTTTTCTTAAAAAGAATAATTTTTACAGCTTTGGTAAAAAAAGATGATAACATATTAATGTCAAACTGAGGTTCAACCTTAGATAATAGTATTTATGATCATTTTTTAGCTGTTTTTTTTCATGAAAATACTTGATTTTGGCTCATGACTACAATTCATTTTCTCCATTATTCAAAACAAATATCATCTATCAATGTTGAATATATGAAATCTACAAATGAAATATTTTATGAATAAACTCGATTGTTGTGTGTTCGAGCATGATGCTTTTTAGTTGAACGGGCTCAATTGCTTTGCCAGCGAAGAAAAAGCCTGTATAATGAAATATGAGATTACTGATGTAACAATACTAATTTCGTTTGGTATTTCCAATATTAGTATTGAGAGAGAGATACTCGGTTACCTGATATTAGACACCAAAAAGCTTTTAAGTCTAATATTTTTGTCCGAGAAAGTCTATTTTGCGAAAGTAACAATGTTGTAACATATATTCGAAGTCAAACAACCCGAACCTATAGGTAGTTTGACAAAAAATTAATTTTAGAAATATTTTGTTACCTATCATTGGGTAATCGACTGCATCTCGGCCAATACTTTATCAGTATTTTCCATATCTCTATGCAAGACTGAAAATGATGGACTTGAACAGGTATCGTTCTACTGGATTTAAGTTTGACATTTTTGACTTATTAGCAAAATTAAATCACTAAATCTCGAATTGAAACCCGTACGGAATAGAAGCTTAGTATAAAGATTATCATTTTCTGACCTCAGCACAAAACAGTATTTGTTGGAGAATTGTAGCATAAGAATTAGATATGTAATCATATTATTCTATTAAATTTCTTTCCGTTATAAACTTATGCACAGTTCAGCAATGAAACGATCTTAATTGTAGCTAATTTGACAGAAATATTGACAAATCCTTGACTGAAAAATGAAACATCTTACTAAGATGAATAGAAGTCAGTTAAAATCACATGAACATTTGTAGAAATCAATAATAAAAGTTAGTATGAGATGATACAATATCAATTTTAAGGTCTGCATTACCGATCTCTCAGAAAGAAGGAACTCTTATTTCGTAATGAGAAGTTGACTTCATATTTCTGTCGAGATAATTAACATACGTATCTCGTTTCATTTCTGAAATGTGCACAAAGTTCTACGACGAACTCGTTCAGTAAAATCATATCGGTACATATCTAATAAGGGTTTCTTTCTAACTTGACAATATCTTAGCTAAAATATTTTATCAACCGTCACTCTTTGGATTCATACTAGAATACACCGAGTACTAAAGATAGATGAGCATGTTAGTATGAAAAGTGATGTAAACAATTCATTATTTTGTCTACTTAATAGTATGGAATCAGGCTAGAACTAACAGTTTCATAGAAACTAGCATGGATACTGTAACATTAATCAGACAAAGCTCAAATTTTGATTTATCAATTATTGAATACATATGAACTTGTAAACTAATGATAACATAGCTAAAACACGAAAAACAATGTTGGTCACAATAGAAGCCCACCTTCAAATTTTTCACTTGCAAAGCAAATTAGAAACCCATTAAGTCTCTATCCTATGACAGATTAGTAAGCTTGAACATAAAATGAATGTATCCTTTTTTAAATATATTGGAAAGTAATTGTTTATCAGATCAGTTAATAAAATTCGAAATTTTTAGGATGTTCAAGAGTCTTTATATACTTGACAAGAAAACGATTCAATTAGAATCTTGAATACAAAAGGTGAAAGTTTTATTTTCTTACTCTATATCTTTTGTTGATTAGAGATTAAGATAATGCAAACTTTTTTCTATCTCCGTTCTCATGTCATGACTTTTATCATTAGAGTTTTGACTTTATTTTTTATGAATATAGAAACAATCTTTTGTATTCTAATGAAAAATGCATTTCCTCATTTTTGCTCTTATCAGTAACTCATTTGTCGTGTTGAAAAAGAAGAAGAAGATGAAGGATGAACACGCGTCTTCACCTCTTCATTAAGAAAGAAAAGAAAAAAAATTCTATGGAAACGTTATCATCTCTTTTATTTCTTTTCACTTTTTCTGACAGCTAATCCAAGCAAGAAGAAAGACGTATTCACGCAATACTAATGGAAATTGAAGAGCAACGAATAGAATTATCAAATAGCAAATTTAAGGTTCTTTTTTAAAGATATATATATCTCACCTTTTCTTTTCTATTTATTTCATGAAATTTTTTATTTTTTTTTTCTAAATAGAAATTTCGAAAACGTATTTTTCGTCCGATTAGTCGCTATAGAAATAAAAATAAAGATGAACAACAAGCTAGTCTTCTACAAGAACAAAATAAAAAAACTGATCCACCTATTCGAAATAAAGATTATGAGATGTAAGTCTTCTTCAACTTGTTTTAAAATGAGCAATTCTACGTAAACGCTACAATTAACCCTGCTCAACCTATGGTTGCCAATGTATCTAGTTTTTATATTAATTTTTGATGATATGATGATCACTAAAAAAAACATATTGTTTTGAGAGTTTATGTTATAACTATTGACGTTTAAGGTGTTGTCTATAAAAAAATGAACTCAAATAAGTATAAGTTAAAACACAATCCTATATTAATTGACCTGTACAATTTCTTTAAAAATAACAACATTTTTTGATTCTCACACCGTGGAGGGCGGGTACGGAAGATAAAAAAAGAAATTTTTGTCATTTCCAGAGAAGCTATATTTGTCAATTGATAGAGGATTATCTGCTGCTTTGTACTAAAAATAAACATGTTTTCATAAGTAGAGAGTCTTTTCTATTAGTTTCTGAACGATTAGCGTACACTAAGCATGAAAAATAAGCCATTATGAGACTCATTGTGGATAAGGCTCTGCAGATTATTCTAAGACGTTCCAGATCGATTCTTGCAGGGTTTCTTTCTGTTCAATATGTTGTTTAAATCTATGGAACTTCGATTTTTATAGATCGGACTGTTTTCTAGATCAGTCGCTCCCAAAATCTTGATTTTGATGACGCCTTCCTAAATATCAATAACTCTTCATAAGACTGAATTTTTTCTCAGAAGGATTATTCAATAAGATATCTTTCCGACAAAAATGTTAACTCTTCAAAGGAAGTTACTTATGAAATATGTTTTTGCGCAAAATACTGAAAATTGAAATTTTTTTCGTATATCTAATAGTAGATCTTCAAATCATTAACGTTTCATCTATTTGAGCTCATTTTTTTATAGTCAATACTGGAATGCTACACGTACTTATCCTGAAAATCTCAAATAAAACAGACGTATCCACGATGAGATATAGCTATCACAAAAAGTATCAAAATACTATGCTTTTTTTAGTGATAGTCATCTCAGAAAAATTAAAATATTTGGAGAAGAAAATAATATTTTTTCAAATGGTATGCATAAAAAATTCATCAAGCATTTACCGCTATAACATATGTAAAACCTAACGAAACTTACAGTCATCGATTGAGCAGAGTCAGTTGTGATGTTTACACGGAATGGCTCATATTAGGAAAAGGAATTTTTTAGTACTGGCTTTGTTATTGATCCACAAAACTATTTATATCATTATTGGCTTGGAATTATTTCACTTGCTGTTGCATATAATCTTCTTTTGATACCAGCTCGTCATGCATTTGATGATTTGAATAAAAATTTACGAGCTGTTTGGATATCATTAGATTATATATTTGATATTATTTATTTAATTGATATTTTTCTACAATCGAGAACAGGTCAGCAAAAAAAAAAAACGTGAAATGAAAACATTTCATAAATAATTCAAACGATTATATTTAGGTTACTTTAGCCATGGTCTTTTTGTTCGTAATCATCATGTTTTATCTCGAAAATATTTTTCATCATATCAATTTTATATTCGTGATCTTTTATCAATAGTTCCAACTGATCTTTTATATTTAAATCAACGTTTTCGTTTTATGTCAATTATTCGTTCGAATCGATTCTTACGAATTCATCGTCTTTTTGAATTTCAAGAATTAACAGAATCACGTACACGATTTCCAAATACATTTCGAATTGGAATACTTATTTGTTTAACATTAACATTGATTCATTGGTAAGACAAAATATACTTTTTTTTTTTTTTTTATTTATTTTAAAGATAAGATTTCATTCGTAGGAATTGTTGTGCATATTTTCTTATTTGTCAACATTTGGGTTTTGGTAGTGATGAATGGGTATTACCAGAATCAGCTCATAATGAAACTGTTGCAATGCTTTATACATATTGTTTTTATTGGTCAACACTCTTATTAAGTACTATTGGAGATGTTCCATTGCCTGTTAAACATTCTGAATATATATTTGTTTTATTTGATTTTTTGATTGGTATGTTTTATAAAACAAATATTTTCTATAACAAGATTTCTAGAAAATAGGATTTACACATTCTATAGAAATTTTAGTGAAGTACATTCTGAGTGTTGTTTTGTCAAAAAGTTCGATAAGTCACTAAAGCTGGAAACTCTATATCTATTGAAAAATGTTTCAATTATGACAGAAAGCGACGGA